CAGACTGAATGTTAAAACCTTTTAACAATACACAAGCAGTTCCTCATTTCATTCATGTTCCTCTTATGACATTAAATGCTGTCTCAGAGTAAGGAGGTAAAGTCCATTTTTTGTCTTATACAAGTCTTGTCAGTGCATATTACTATTGCCATGTAACTAACTTCTCAAATGCCATGGAAGACAAAAAAAATAGGGGGGAAGGGCACAGTAACAAATAAAAATAATCTCAAGGTGAACACAGTGAGCCCATCTTCAATTACGTTCAGCAGATCAGTGTCAAGAGGCAAAACCTATATAAACCTTCCTGTCCTTCTGGCATCTAAAATAAGATGCTCAATTGCTTTGCTATTCATGGAAACATGGCAATGTGCTGAATTTTTAGAGTATGTAATGTTTCCGAAGTATATTACTTCACACAGTCTGTTCAGACATGAGCCCAACTCCGTTCCCCTCTTTCATTCCAATTCATTAATTTGTGGTTTGCTAAAACTGCAAAGCTGGTTTCACCTAATTGTGTCATAGTTTGCAGAGTTAGGTAGGTAGCCTTGATGGTCTGACGCAGTTGAAATAAATAAAAAATTAAAAAATTGTCCAGTAGCTCCTTAGGGACCAACTAAGTTTGTTCTGGGTATAAGCTTTCATGTGCATGCACACTTCTTCAGATACCTTTGCAGAGATTGTTCAAATCAGATACTGAGTTGGGACATCACGTGAAACTGTGGTTTAACAAAGCCAAGCTTTGTCTTTAGGCATAGGAAAGAAGGAAGGAGGCAGCCATGGTTTGTTGGGAAACCATCATTATGTATGAATAAGTTTTTGTGCTGTACTCTGTAAAATTCTGACCTGAAGCAGCGCGAGAATAAAATCTTACAAAATATGTAGGCATACTGCAAGCAAGCAAGCAACCTCTTTCCACAAAGACCCAGCCTGAGTTCCACAAGTGCAGGAAGATTGACTTACCTCATTGGGATGTTAGGAACACAGAAGAACAAAAAAGTACAGGAACTACTTGTTTATAACCTAAAATGCATAACATCTTAGCACTGTATACCATAACCTGCGTAGAGAAGAATGTGAACAGTCATTCCATCAGTCTCAAATTCACTATGCAGGCTTTTCTGATTAACACCCATCATCCTTAATTAGGGTTGCCATATTTCAAAAAGTGAACATCTGGACACAAAAGTTGTCAAGCTTTTTTGCCCAAAGCTGTAGAGCTTTCAGTGATTTCCACCCTGATGCTGTTTACAAGGGCCAAATGCTGTCTATGTCCAAAAAATTCCATACTTATGGCAACCCTAGCTTAATCTGCACAGACTATACCAATTCCTGTACGGATCATCCATACAGCTCCTGTAGTGCCAAACTATTGTGTTGGAGATGCCTCTTTCGCACCCTGCTCAGACTGAGCACTAGGAGGGGAATTTGACATCTGGATGGAGACTTGCCAACAATTAAAAAGAACACGTCGTGGTTAGCAGGAGATCTTTATTTAACGTATTATGCAAGCTGCTCTCTAAACAGCATTTTCTAAAATAAATTCCAGAAGCACAACATAGCATGTCACTTGCCCCAAAACGCGTTTGCAAAGGCCTTGAGAATGAAAGACTTGCCAAAAATTTGATTCACCCACAAGTGACTTCTGTGTAGTCAAGAAGCCTTACGGAGATTGCAGGGAGTAGAACTTCTGTAGAAGGGAAGTGCCTGCTATATTACAAAACTGGCACAAGGATGCCCAATCATTTGAAGACAGGACATGTTCCTGCTCAGAATAGTTGTCCTTTAGCAAGTTTCCACAGAGCTTACCCATATGAGCAGCTTCATGGATTTAAAGAAGAAAGGGGGAGTGAGTGAGCTTAGAATAAACCCTACATAACAATAAACCCTCACACATAGAGGCCAAGTTCTATGTAAGATGGAAAACATGTCACTGGGATTTACTGCTCCAGACTGCAGAATGCCTACACGATGAATTCTCCTCACAAAAGAAATCCTTTTACTTGTCAACAAGGGCTTTAGCCCACTCAATTCACAGGAAGAGGAACGTACCTTAAAAGGGCATCTCCTCCTACCCCCGTACAAGACATAGGAAATTCATGGCTACAGCATTCCCAACAGGTAACTAAGCAACTTCATACTGGAAACGTAATGGAGAATCTACCACCTTCCAAAGCAGTCTGTTCTACAGTCGGGTAAGTTGAAGTTCTTCCTAAATTTTAGTCAAATTCCCCCTTCCTATCATTTGAACCTGTTTGTTTGGGTACTACCTTCTGGGGCAACAGAAAACAAATGTGCTCCATCATTTATATCTATCTTCAATGTTTCAAGGTAGCGTTCACATTGCCTCTTTTCCATGCTAAAAATACTCAGCACCTTCAACCTTTAGATGCAGGACTTGATCCCAAGGCCCCTTACTATCTTTGTCACCCTGCGCCAGATGCAATCCAGTTTTTCTTCTTCCCAAATGTACATGGTTCTTATTTTTTACATGGAGAGAACGTTTTTGGCATGAAGAAAGCATTCAATCATGAGCGCCTCCATCTGAGTCTGTAGCACTACAGCTCAGTCTCCAGTTTTGCCACCTCCATGAGAAACAGGCCTCAATGCAAGCACTTATTCTAAGCTCTTCCTCTCTGAAATCAGAAACGGTACATGAATTGATGCAAAGCCTTGGATATCTCAAATTGTGATATGACTGACATATTATATACAGATTAAAATAAGCATTCACAAAATACTGCAAAAGGAACACAAAGTCCAACTGTAGTACAGTGCCTGCAAAACAGAGTTCCCATGAGTTCACCGGACAACTGCATTTGGCATCACAAATCAATGTGTCTAAGGAAATGTGAAAATTAAAGTTCTGCTGTAGAAAACAAATGAGGGAGGGAAATAGGTGGACAGCAAGTTCCCACCCACACCTTTCAATTGTAAAGAATGTTTTTATGTTCCTTTTCAGGAATTTGGTTACAAAGGCAACTAACTGGTTGCCTCTCCCAGGCATGAAGATGTTGCTTAAAAGATAAATGATTGGCAACATGACATATGCAGAGCAGTGTGGCTAGGCCAGAAAGTAGGCCCTGGCTAAGTAGCTCTGCATGGGGCTTGTCAATGGTATTTGGCCCAAACATGATATGCATCCAGCTCCATTACTCTAGACAAAATTTTCAGCCTGGGCTGGCCCCTTCCCCATTTGCACTATACAGATACAATAGGTCAGCATGGAGATTTTCGCAGCATTGCTTCCAGTTTAATGCTAAAGTGCCAAAGATAAGCGCAAACATCCAGTTACAACTGAAAGCAGCCTATTATGTGCATTTGGCTCCTAGATCTGCAATGCCACGCTGCAATGCTGAGGGTGAGGGATATTAGGGAGTGTTTCTGATGCTCCTCTTGCCATGTGTGAGCTCCGTGAAGCTATATGCACAGGGCAGTTGCCCTATGCGGCAAGCTGCTTTAGATACTGCTTCTCCTTGTGGGTTTATCCACATGCCATTGGCAAAAACTGCCTGTGGTAGCAAAACCAACACATGCTGGAGCCCAATGCAGAAGTCAGAGAATATAGGACTGCTCACAATGGATACATGCAGCAAGTTTAGAGCATCATGCACGTGGCAGCTGTCGAAAAGCCACTCTTATGAGCCACAGATATTCACCAGCACACTGCATCTGATCCCAGAAATTGCATATAACCATCATGCCTAGTAACCATTGACAAGACTTTTACTCCATTAATTTGTCTAATGCCATCTAAAGCTGTATAAGCTACTGGCCATCATAACTCTTGGCAGCAAATTCCATAAATTCTGCACAGAACAAAGACTTTTGGGGAGAAGGGGGGTAGAAGAAGTAGTTTGGATTTGATATCCCGCTTTATCACTACCGTAAGGAGTCTCAAAGCAGCTAACAATCACCTTTCCCTTCCTCCCCCACAACAAACACTCTGTGAGGTGAGTGAGGCTGAGAGACTTCAGAGCAGTGTGACTAGCCCAAGGTCACCCAGCAGCTGTGGAGGAGTGGGGACGCGAACCCGGTTCACCAGATTACAAGTCCACCACTCTTAACCACTACACCATACTGGCTCTAGTGTCCTGAATTTGCTAAAAGTTTCATTGAATGCCTCCAAATTCTAGTGTCATGAAGGAGAAATACTTCTTTATCCAGGTTCTCCACACATGCATCAGTTCAGAAGCCTTGTGCATGAAATAAACTTCATTAGATAAGAACAAAAATGGCACCTGATCTAGCAAGAGAGATATACACACAGTATCAGCCTATCCCATGCATTGCTCATGGCAATGCTCATCTGGATGTGTGTCCCCATTCACAATATTTATCCAGCTCAATTAATTGGCTAGTTCATCTTTGATGCGGCTGTTGTTGTAGGGAATTAGTAGCCTATGATTATTAGATCTTGTCGTACAGTATAAGTTAAAAGTAACTTGTATCTCCCAAATGAATTGTCACAATGTGAGCAACTATGTTCAGCTGATTACATTTTTTTTTGGGGGGGGGGCATGTCACAAGCTCGGTATACAGGTTAAAATAAAAAAGAAATACAGTGGTACCTCTGGATGCGAACGGGTCATTTTGAGCGTCTGCACATGTGGCGAAACCCGGAAGTAACGTGTTCCGTTACTTCTGAGTCGCCGCGGAGCGCAACCCGAAAATGCTCAACCTGAAGCAACTTCAACCCGAGGTATGACTGTACTGAAGTACACATCAATCCTACAAACTGATTTGAAGGACTAGAGCAGGGGTGTCCAAACCTTTTTCAAAGAGGGCCAGATTTAATGAAGTAAAGGGCCATGAGGGTCGACCAAAGTTGTTGACCCTTTTTAGGATTGAAGTTGTTGAGAGTTTGGGGGGATTTTACCCCAGGATATAAACTGCCACATGGGCTGGATTAAACCGGCCGGATTAGGCCCCCGAAATGGACTTTGGACATGCCTGGACTAGAGAACATGCCTGAATGGACCCACAGTGTAATACAGAAAATCTTTAACTTGTTACATGGTTGTAATTTTTCAAACATTTATATACAGGGTACTGTGGGTTCCACAATTGTATGATCATATTTTTTAATAATAATAATAATAATAATAATAATAATAATAATAATAATAATAATAATAATAATAATTTGACAGCTGTTACACATGCCCTCTAGATTCTGTTCACACTTTTACTGCCTCTCGTTGCTTCTACTTTCTTGCTTGCCACCTCCTCCACCTGGTAAAACATTTGTTTTAAAAAGAAATCCATATCCCACATTGCAGTCAGAACTTGGCACAATATGCATTACTTGCATAAATGTATTTTAGTCACAGAATTGAGCTTCTTCTCCTTAAAAGAATATGCATTCCTTTAAAGAAGAATCTGCCCTTTATTCTGCGGAAATTATTGTGTGGAATTCATAAGGCCCAGCTTACATGGTTCACATGCTAAACAATCATCCTATTTTGAGTATGTGGCCCGTTAAGTATAGCAGTGACTGTACACATCAATATAAGCATTTTACATTCTTACAAATTATTTCTTTTAAAGGAAATAAAAATCTCAGAGCTCAGTAACAAAGCCACACACTAGCAAGTTTGGGCTGCGTTTGAGACACCTTGAAGCAACCAGGTACAGGTTTTTGTTACATTTTATAGGGAAAGCTAGTTTTAAGTGCAAACAAAATAAGGAATTGGTGATGGTGCAACTCATCATCACTTAATGCAACTCAGTTAGTGAATATTTTCATCTGAACCCCATCTTAACCTGTGCTCCAACAACTACTGATTCCGTACTCTAGACACAGAAAAAGCTTTACAAGATATTTGGGACACAGGCTAATGCCTATTGTGCAACATAGGTGTGTCTGATTGGCTACAAAAAACAAAATGGTAGCTCACGTTCATTTACATGGGAGTTTGCACAGGAGACAGTAACATGAGTAACACAGATGTAATGTATTGATAATGGTGGTGCTCTCCAAGGTCTCTCAAGACTTCACCGATCCATTCAAATAAATCCTTGTCTTGTGCATTCTTCACACAGGATTAAAAGGCTCCTTTACTCACTCAATTTCAGAGTATTTAGGACTCAGAGCATTTGAAGAGCAGAGCTTGTGCCTGGGATACATGGTTGGTGCAAAAGGCTCAGACACAGGCAAGGCATCACTAATGTGACTCTTCTAGTAAGGCATGCGTGAGCTGCTCTGAATTATTTGATAAACCCAGATCAAATTCATTAACACAACCAGAAATGCTCTCCAGGGCTATCATTTTTGTACAGCAAGAACATTTTCTTGTGCCTGTATCACACTTTCCGTTTTATGAGTTGTAAGGCGAAAATAAGGGAAACATGCTAACCCTTCATCTACATCGAAACAACACTGATTTGCTTCTCATGAGAGGTTCTGTATGCACAGAAGCAAGCCCGATTCCATTTGCTCTGGCCTTAAGAGCGTATGAAAAGCCCGGCTGGATCAGACCAAAGGCCTATCTAGACCAGCATTTCCAGAGGCCAACCTAATGCCTACAGAAAGCCTGCAAGCATAAATCACCCTCTCATACGTTCAAGCCAACAGGATCCAATCAAAAATATAATAGTTGACTCTGCGTGCGCGCACCGAGGCACATCTTGAGAAAACAACCCCACAAGGGAGGCTCCAGACAATAATCGGAGGAGGAGGAGGATGTGCTGTGCTCTAATGTAAATAGTGCTAGAAAAACATGGTTGTCTGGACTTCTCATTTTGATGCTGGCATCTAGGAATTGGGACTATTTTGCAGCTTCGTTCACTTATACTGGAAAAAGGATAGCAATGAAAGAGTTGTTGGGAGAAGGCACCACTCTCTACTATATAACACATCTACATCATAGTGAGTACACTGTAATCAGGAAATGTAGAATAAAACACAGTATGCGCTTCTGAGGACATACTGCCAAAAGGGGAGATTCCTTTTTTATACTGCAGGAAACATCCCAGCTTGAAGACAACAGAGCAAGTGGTTGTCATCCACAAAGGCTATTTTGAAACCACACATCTAAACGGCTATTCTCATAGCAACTTATGGAGTTCAGGTTACTGTCTCAAATGATTCTTATACTGTAATAGTTTCCAAAACAGAAAAAGCTACTGTTGGTAGAGTCCATTTCATTGTCATTCGCTTTAAGGTTATATATTGGAAAGCTTCCTGACATGACAGTCCCATTTTTGCATTTATGGTTCCACTGGCTCATGCAGTAGGATACACAGGAAAGAGGATCGCAAGGAAGGAACCATAGTTTAAAAGCAATACTAGGATACCCCAGTGATACAGGAGGAAAAACTGAAACAATAATGCTATGTTAAAGTGGGGGGAAGCAAACCTCAAAATACTGACCAACACGTTGCTTTTGGAAATGTTCCCAATATAAAATTCAAGTCACCCAGTTCTGATAAAACAGTTTATCCTCTGTTAACCTCCACTCTAGGTCAGGGATCACTGCTGGCTTCTTTTCGGGTCTTATGCTTACAAACGACACAAGCTCAGCTTCCCCAAAGAACTGCAAATAGAATTTCTTCTATTAAACACAGGACTCTGCTAACAACTGAGATGTGTCTGAGAAATGAAGAGCTTTGCAACAAAGACAGGTGCCTGCAATAACCAAATACCATTTTGCATATGCCACCAAGCAGCTTCTGGGGCTAGAAACGAGAGTGTGCGACAAATACTTGCATAGCAATAGCAGGAACACTGGAAATATGGAAACCCCCAACACTGATTATGCATTTTTATATAGATTTACAAACATGATTATCAGGATGAGTGGGGTAAACATATCATGCTGACAGAGGTGTGTGTCACATGCTAACACTGAAGAGATAGCTATTGCCGGAAGGAAAATTCTGACGTACTCCAAAGTCCAACATATTAAAAGCCCAACTAGTTGACAAAGGAAGAGCTGCCTCCATCTAGTGCAGTCAAGGACCATCTCCTGTGGCATTTTCTTAGAAAGCTGCCTGGGGTAGTAGCGCTGCAGCTCGTCTCTGATGAATGGCTTCTGCCTGTTCAGTCAGTTCTGGTGCCTCTGGGAGTGTGGCACAGGCGGGCCTGGGTCTGAAGTATCTATGTGGATGGATAAAGCTGCTGGAACATCACAATAAAAAAGGAAGAGAAATACAATGAACAGGAACATCAAAACAAGGTACAATTTGCACATCAAACATTAGGTGCCAAGCCCCGCCGTATGCTTCCACTGCCATGACTGCCTACCCTATTCGTTTACTTTCAGCCAGGTTTACAGGGCTCTGAAAGACTAGAATACTATGTAGATTCCAAGCATTGTTTCATTTGTTCATTATTTGCATTTCAAAACGCTATGTAGAAAGCTACACCCTCTACCAATAAATGCCCTGCTCATAGCCAGCGTGTTGCTGAGGAGGGAAGGGGCGGTCAGTCACAATAAAAACACAAAAACATCATCAATGCACCCTCCTCTTTATGCAGACTGCAGGGTGCCATGGGGGTGGGCAGAAAGGGAGAACAGTGCCAATTTAAAGCATGATGTGGATAACTCCAGAGCTTCTGAAAACCATTCCTGGTTTCAGCACTAGAGAGCTCCCAGCAGTTAAGACTTTCTTTTGCTCTGACCCAGGAATGGGGAACCCATGGCTCTCCTGATATTCTTGGACTACAGCTCACATGAGTCCCAGTCAGCATAGCCATTGGTTGGGGATGATGGGAATTGTAGTCCAGCAACATCCAGATACTCACCTCTGCTCTTAGCTGTAGAAGTGACCTGACCAAATAAATAGTTCCTGTTCTGTGTATATACACAAGGTTCTGTGTATATACACAAGGTTGTGTTTATTCTGCATCAAACAGAAATTGGAATTCTCTGCCCAAACAGCCAAAATTTTGTGATCAGGCTTGGACAAATTGGCACCTGCTTGCTTTCGATTCTTTATTCTGCTTCTAAAGACCCATGTTTCAAAGAATACATGATCCGCCACAAATATGCAGTCGGCAGAAAGAAATAACACATTTTCCTTGTGGAAAAAGTGAAGCAACAACTTTAGGGATAAAGGTGGGAACCTGTCTAAGCACCATTTTAAACTTGTCAAAAGTGCAGCCAAACTCTCCTGCTAAAAGAGAAATCAGCCTTGCACAAAAGAAAATGGATGACGTTCACTTGATTGTCACTGAAGCAGCTTGAGCACACCTTGCAGTGTCTACCCATGCTGCAGGAAAGCGGTGGAAAGAAAACTAGCAATGCTTTTATTCGTCTCACTGAAGTGACTGAAATAAATTGAGCAAGAATACGTTGCCTAAAAGGCCACTAATGAAACCACCTCCTCCTTGAAGACAGCTGGACCATGAGCAAATGCAAGGCCAGCTGTAAGAGGGTCCAAATGCAGCTCACATTCTTAAAAGCTAAGGGGAACTGTGAGGCTATGAGACATGCCTAAAACAAGGGAACATAAAACTGTTTCTCAGTTAGATTTGGGAGGTATTTTGAGGGGGCGGGGTGGTCTCCAAGTCTAGTTAAGAATCAAATTCTATTAAGCCTGCTATAATACCCTGCTATTAAGCCTGCGTAATATCCTAGGCCTCAACCACTGGGATATGGTAGAACGTTACCATACTTTCAATTGAGGACTATTTGCGGCATCTGACCCACACACACAACTGCCCCAGGAGCATGTGGAACTGCAAAAGCCCTTGTGCAAGTGTGACTTAGGGTCTCCATGGTGGAATGGCAACAGTGGTGTATATAATAACCCCATTTTTAGGGATGGCAGCTGCTCTAGAAGCGTGAGGTGGTCACATAGGGTTCTCATGTGTGAACCGTTTATTAGGGATTGCCAAGGAATTGTAGTTCCAGATTCACCCAGAGTAGGTGGGCATGACCTTGTACAGGTGCCATTAAATATATATTAGGTTAAAAGAAAACACAACCCTCCAGATTGCAGCTTCCGTTGCCACCACTGGATGCATCTTAAGTGGCCTGACTATCATCATCTAAATTCAGTCAAATTCAACAAAACTTTCTGTAGGTGGGGAGGGGGAGGGGTCTACGACAAAGGAAGATTTGTTGCTGCATGTTTAAGAAAGAAGCTAAATTCATCACAATGACAGGGGAGAGTGTTGGCAGAGATTTGAGCTATTTATTCTTTTAGGAAAATCCTATAAAGAATGACATGAGGAAGCCTCTATCTGCAGTCTTGTTCATCACGGTGGTGAGGAGTCCGATAACAGATGTATGCAGTAGCGTGATTTAGTGCCGGGAGCTGGCCCCTGATGTGTATTAATACAGCGGCAAAGCGGAACGAGCCTCTCTTCATCACTCATCTCTATAAAAGAGGTGGAATCCGAGATGGCCCGATGTTAGGCAGAGCAAGCCCATTTGTTCTGCTGACTGATGGAGCCAGCTCAGGCTGTGTCCTTCACCTCTCTGGGGCACACGGGTTGCATAAAAGGAGTTCACTGAAGCAGGACCTGGTCAACAAGTGAGATGAGAGCTGTTGGGCTCAACCAGAGATCTGTTTTGGAGGCACTGTCTAGTCCAAATGGGGCATCCTTGCTTGTACAACCCCCCTCGTTCTCAGGCCTGGGCCCGAATGGTGACTCACACCAATCTTTCACTGCCAACACAAAGTCGTCACGTGAAGCTAGATCTACAGTGAAAGAAAATAGAGTCCAATAAGCTAGTCAGAGAGGAAATGTCCAAGTCAGTGCTGATTGAAAGCATACCAGGGGGAGAAGAATCCTTTGGCCAGAGATGTGCATGCCCCATGTATCACACAAAAACACAGAAAGATATCTTGCTTCCTTGGAATACTGGCTCTCATCTCTCCCCTCACGTTCTTTTCTAATAAAGGAGAGGGCCATTTCTAGCTCAGCTGACTGTAAATAGAGGTGGCCAATCTGTGATCTTCCACACACTGTTGGGCTCAAACTCCCATCGTATGCGACCATTAACCATGCTGGCTGGGGGGAAGAGATACACACAGGCAGCCTATATGTCTCTTTCTCTCCACCCTACACTGTAACAATGTCCTCCATCTGAAAGCCCTGGGCTGTTCTGGATGGATCTGGGCTGACCTGGGGTGATCCAGCGATGCCTCAACCCAATCTAGCTAAATCCCAGGTTGCCCCAAATCAATCTAATTCATTTCAGGATCCAGTTGCATCCAGTGCACAAACCTGGTTTCAAATTGTTTTGTCTTATGATAACAGTGTATTGTTCATACTTTGTATGAGTGGCTGGGGAAACTCAGCCAGATGGGCGGGGTATAAATAATAATAATAATAAATAATAATAATAATAATAATAATAATAATAATAATAATAATAATGGCCTTGGGACTAAAAAAAGACACGATAAAACCATCAATCTAATTCAAGCCACTTGCCAGTTTGCCTGAGGCCATGTCTTTTGCCAGGCACAGGCAAACTAAGCCCTCCAGATGTTTTGGGACTACAATTCCCATCATCCCTGACCACTGGTCCTGTTAGCTAGGGATGATGTGAGTTGTAGTCCCAAAACATCTGGAGGGCCGAGTTTGCCTATCCCTGTCTTTGGCCCTCAGTGTGGTCCCTTCTTAACGCTACCTACCCTGATGCTGATGCACAAGGGTTTGGCTGTGCTGAGCTCCGGGAAAGACAAAACGAGTTTGCAGCGCTTCTGCCTGCTCCAAAGCTCAGCACAACATGCAACACAAATTCAGAGTTCTCTAGCACACACAGAGAACTTCAGCGAGTGCAACCACAATATATGGCTGGCTAGTAAGTCCATATAAAATTAAGGACCCCTATATTAAAAGAAACCTGGAAAAGTAAAAAAGTTGCTAAAGAAATTGAGACAGATAGCATTAGAGCATACCAGGGGCTACCTTTTTTGCCTTCTCTGAGAGAATGAATTTTCACAAAAAGGAACCACAACACAGAAGGAATATTTAATATTGTAATAGTTGTCTGCTCCAGATAATTTGTACGTAATTTGTTCCAAGAAATACAGCAGACAGCAACTGAGTAGTCGCTATCTAACCCTGCATTTATTCCAACTATCACTGCACTTCAGGTTTCTTAGTGCAAGACAGGATCCATAAAACCTTCCTGAGACAACTGCTATGGACAAATGTTTAGCAATACTCTTCTCATTCCACTCACTGCCTCACTGACTGCTCCTCCTTTCTGCTATTCTTTAAGAACTGTGTGCACATTCACATATGCAGAGATCCGTGAGCAGACATTCTGCTTGTGTCAGGCCACAAGGCGCACATGCAGCTCTGTGTTTCAACAGTTTGTCGCCTCTCTACATACACACCTGCATCATCTGCTGCCTGAGGCAGTCACCTCACTGTAGTTAATTGTAGGGCCAGCCCTATGGTAGATATGCATTGCAAGATTACTACGACCACCCACACCAACATTTTATTTTGTTACTTGAGCCTGTAGGAGTAGTACAAGGGTAGTAGATCTGCCTGCATGTGCATTTAGAGTGGAGGAAGCATGCCTGAACAGAACACACACAAAGCTGTGTAGAGACCGGAAACATCAAGGGGCAAAAGATATGGGGGAAAAACATTAGGACTGGCAATAAAGAAGGCAGCAGTGCTGGCAAACCAAGGAGCTGGTTCTATTTAATTAATCCTTATTAGCTGATTAATTGCTACCTCATTCTGTCCAAGCATTTCCTAATCAATGGGAGTTCACTTTTTTTGTTAAAATTAATGCTTTTTCTTTAGGGACCAGGTGAAGATATTTCTCTATAACCAGGCCTTTAGCTGATGAATATTCTATGGCCTTTTAAATGTGTTTAGGGAGGTGGGAGTTATTGGTTTGCTTTTGTTTTATTATGCATTCTGTGTTCTCATTTTGTATTTTTAAGTTGTGAACAGCGCTATGATCTTTGGATGAAGAAGAAGAAGAAGAGTTTGGATTTGATATCCCGCCTTTCACTCCCCTTCAGGAGTCTCATAGCGGCTAACATTCTCCTTTCCCTTCCTCCCCCACAACAAACATCCTGTGAGGTGAGTGGGGCTGAGAGACTTCAGAGAAGTGTGACTAGCCCAAGGTCACCCAGCAGCTGCATGTGGAGGAGCGGAGACGTGAACCCGGTTCCCCAGATTACGAGACTACCGCTCTTAACCACTACACCACACTGGCTATATTATTATTATTATTATTATTATTATTATTATTATTATTATTATTATTATTATTATTATATTGGATTATTCTTATGTGTGGGTGGCCTTCAATCCAATAACCTACATTTTCTTGGGATACCAGCATACTCCTCTCTCATCCAGAAATGTTGTTTCTTCTGCTTTAAGAAAATAAAGCATACTCTCAAAGCACAAAACAGTTTCTCTCAATGAGTAAGATGCTCTTTAGGCAAAGTACCAAGAGATTGGCACAAGGGAGAAGCCAGCATCCATGTCCTATTTCCTTTAAGCTTTCCAAACACTTCACTACTAGTAGTTGGACTGTGTCAACCAGACTTTGCAACTGCTGGCCTCCAGATAGTTTGGACTACAATTCCCATCAACTTTAGGCGGCACAGCTGCAGTCACTAGGTTGGAAAAGGCTGGGGTAAACTCTCTGCTTTTTAAAAAAAACAGTGATGTTAATGTGCAAAGGAAGGCCAAGTTCTGCAAACTAAATTACATGAGCTAAATTAACATGCATATACTTGGTTGCATGACCAATTCTGCCCCTGCTAGTCACAGAAGGCAGAAGAGCAAGGAAATATTATTAAGCCCTACTCCTGGCCATCAGGAGCTGAGTGCCCTCAATGCCTTTTGATTATTATTTTCTAAATATTTTTACTAAACTTTTTAACAGCAAGCAAACTGCAGCAAAGCTGCCTTTTGATGATTCATCAGGCATTATCCAGGCATTTCCCAACTGACTGCCACAGTCACAAGGAGTAGAAAATGAACTTCCTGCATCCAATACTAAATGTGGCATTTGTGCAATGCAAGTGATACAACCCTGCCCTGGGAAGCCTCCGTATCTCACAGGGGAACAGCTGAAAGGGCAGATCTTTTTTAAAATTCAGGTGTTTTCCTGCTCCTTCAAAACAGTAGCCCCCTAAATCATTAACCATTTATACTGAGGTTTAGCCAATTTACCTGAAGTTGGGCTGGAAAGGGAGGCTGTTGCCATTACAGGCTTCCTCTTCCTCTTTATGTCCCTTGAGCATGGGGGTCCGAGATGTATATTGGTCTGCCTAAAAAGGAAGAAATAAAGTATAATGATTAAAAAATTAAGGCAACAAACACCATCTTGACAGTCCCTTTATTTATTATTTATTTTTTAAGTACCAATTGCAGGGCCACCACCAAGAAGGACTTGTTTCACGCACTCACAAACCTCACTGATTTCACTGGCAGGCACATAAAGCAGGACACCATACACAGATCTTAAGGTTGATCTGCAAAGGTGGAAACTCCCAACTGCAGGTGAAGTTTTACTCTCTTGTCTAATAAGCATTAGGTTGGAACACTAGAATCATCATATTTAGGCTGGCAATAGAGCTCCCTCCACTCCCCCAGAAAAGTGAGCCTTGTTTTCCCCTATGCATAATGCAAACAAGATGGAACTAGGCATCTCAAGGAATCCTCTACAGTGGTACCCTGTTTTGAGTCCAGGATCCGTTCCGGAGCCCCGGACGCTCCACGAAAGGGATGCTCGACAAAGTGCCGCTCTGCGCATGCGCGAAGAGCAATTTAGTACTTCTGCACATGCACGAGTGGCAAACCCAGAAGTAACCCATTCTAGTACTTCCAGGTTTGCCGTGGACGTTTGCTGAAATGGACGGTCGACAGGACAGACGTTCACAGAGGTATTATTGTACATTAAACAAGCACCCTTCTTGAAATGTTTAATTGCAATTGATCTTCTGAGAGACAGCCATACAAAGCATTCCCTTTAGAACAGAAAAGTGTTTCAGTTGAAAAATATGATCCTTTGTTATTATAATATCAAACTTAGGAATTTCATGAGTTTCCTAAGAACCTCAATTTTCAGGCCTCTGTAGATAATACAGTTGAAGACTCTTGTATTTTCCCCATTTTAGAAAGCAAAATATATGGATTGTACCAATGCAAATAAGGAAATGTGCTTATTAACTGATCGCCTTGAAAATGATTAGCTCAGCTATCCTCACGCAGAAGGAAACATTCAGTAGAAGACACTTCCTATCAAGGGTATTGCTACTGTGACAGTATTCAGCTCAGCTGTTGCAGTTGTACTTAACAGTTTCCACTGCAAATACCAGATGCATAAAAGGTGCTTTTTCTAAGCCTTGAGGTACCACCTGGGGCTATTTCTGATGCCTTCAAAGGTCAAAATTAATAGTGAGAACAGAGATCCTTCTCTTCTTTGAAACACCACCAGCCAGCTGGGCACCCAATTCTGATCTGCACATCATAGGTAGAAATCACTACAAGTTGCTCATCCCATCCAGCGAACACAACATCTTTGCATGCAAGGATTAACCCATTGCACAGCACAGAAAAGGGTCCTGGTAACAAATGATAACCAATTCATTCAAAAAAAATTCACTACACATGTACTAGAGAGACTGGCAACCAGACTGGCCTATCCAAAATGTAGCCCTCCACCCTCTTCTCCAACAGTCAGCATCAGATGTGTTTATAACAAAACAACAGCATGGAACCATTGCCACACATGTTCACATTACTCACGGGCAACTTTCAACAGAGGTCTCTGTATTTCTTTTCCATTATGCTGGCAACTAGCACCCATCAGTGATTAATACACACACACACACACACACACACTATGGAGCTACCTATGTTGATGCAACACCTGCATTTGGCAGCACAGCAGACACAGATAAAGAGATGGTTTGGTTGTCTACTTGGTGTCCCTCCTTAAACTACATTTGCAGTCACATACCAGAAAGATGGTGACCCAGGATGAGAAAAATGTTTTCCAAGGGCTGAGAAAGGCACCTAATGCATTACCACTGTATGCAACTCTGAATGTGGGCTTCATAATGTAGGTTGATGGTATACCATGCTGCAGTGAGATTTTCATCTGTGGCCGCCACAGTATGGGCTCTGCTTTAGCATTCTTCATGGGTTATATTTCCTCTGGTGACATGGGCCACATATTAATCCTGTCTTAACTTGAACTTGGCAGATCTCATACTGAGACCAGACTCTTAATAATACCTGGTCTTAATCAGTGGAAAGAATTGGGACAGGAGGCTTGGCTCTGCTTAGGAAATCTTGAGCTATACTGAGAAATACCATCCCATCCCAAATGGCCAACCAACCAACCACTAAGGCAATGAATGCCCTAAGCCAGGAATGAGGAAGCTCAAGCCCAAGCGCCCAATGTGACCTATCTGACCCTTGGGACTCTCCTGACATCACTGGCCATGCTCTGTGCTTTTGCCTGCCTGAGATGTCTTTTACCTCTGGCAATGCCTTCTGCTTGCCTGGATGGAGAATTGTAACTGCCAACTTTTGCATGGGCAATATATAGCTAATGTGCACGTCTGCCCCATGTACCACTGGAATGTGGCCCCCAGAAACTTGCCCAGGCTTTAGGCTAAAAAAGCTTCCTGCTCTAAGCATTTCCAAGGAAAGCGAAGACAGGGAACCTTTATTCTGCCACCTCGATACACGGAAAGCAGTAAGTTCAACCTGCTACCTCAATGCAATTCACACTGGTACTGAGGAACATATTCTCAATGCCAACTTCTTCATGCTTTCCACTTTTAAAAAGTGCATTGTCAAACAGAAGCTACAACAGACAGGGCATGATTAGTAAATGCTTTGTGCTCTTAAAGAGCCGCAATTACAGGCATGTGGAAAGAAGGAAAGCGGTCCCTGAGATGCGCTCTCTCACATGCCTCCCAAGAAGCGGCAGGCCATTAAAATTCCATGATGAAGAATCAAAACAGCCTGGGAACAGCCAGGAGGCAATACAGCAAATTAATACACCAACTATCCCCAAGGAGGATGGCAAAAAGGGAGGGAAAGCGGGGGTGGGGGGACTCTCGTCGCTTTGCAAAATAAAATTATACTACTAATGATAACAGAGTCACCAAACCCACCCACCCCTCCCACACCACTTCTAATGATGGGTGTGGAATTCCCAGTGCTGCTTCTGACACTTTGAGAGAAGTCTCACCACATCACAGACAGACAGCTGAAAAGAAAGTCTTGGTATACTACAATTTATACAGCCTTTTAACTGCATCTTCCAAGGAACCCTCCATGCAGAGCCTTCTCCTTGACACCAAAAAGCCGCTCCTCGCACACCCATGGCTCTACACTCAGCAATCTGGCTGGCGGCTCTGTTTAAATGAAGCAATGGGTTACAAGACAGTGACTATGCTACCTAGATGAATTTCACCGGAAACCACTAGGGAGGTAAAGAAAACATAGGTTAAGGCAGACAGGTGAAAAAAACAGAATTTGCCTGATAACAGTGCTTCCAATTGCATAATACATTTGTGAAAGGCTTTCCGGAGGCAGACAGTGCTTATAAGAACTGGCAGTTTGAGCAGTAGGGAAATAATTTACATGGCATAGAGCTAGTATGGGCAACTATGGCCCAAGGTGCTGCACTTTTTGAAGGATGCTTTTCTTTCTGCTACATGCCAGAATATTATCTCTCTTAAGTAATACAGCCTCAATAAGCTTGGAAATTATGGGAGGAATTCACCTTGCGCTAAGCTGATCAGCTGTCATTTCAGCTTGCCTGAAGGAACAATTCCCCCACCCCTTCCCCTGAATGCTATTCCAGGGGTTCTCCAGACTGACCGCCCCTCACAAGCCAATTCTGGAAAGTGGAGTTCCTTATGCAGGTCCTCCACTGATGGGGCTAATTGATTCCCACCCATTAGCAGGGCCCACTCATAAGTTACAAGCCCCAAAACATGTTTACTTGCTCACCTAACTGCATATATACATAGATGTCCGTCATCAGATATACAAAGTAAGACCTAAAGCAGGCACAGGCAAACTCGGCCCTCCAGATATTTTTGGGACTACAACTCCCATCATCCCTGGCTAACAGGACCAGTGGTCAGGGATGATGGGAGCTGTAGTCCCAAAACATCTAGAGGGCCGAGTTTGCCTATGTCTGACCTAAAGCTTAAAAACATCACTTGGAATCAAATTAAATTCACTACCAGAAACTTGACAAGTAGCTATTTACAAGCCGAGCTCAAGGCTCATCCAAGTTTAAGCTACTGGCTTTCATCATCATAACAGAATAAGAGCTGCAGAGAATATTACAGTTATCTAAGCAAGTTCGTGCCATAACGTAAGGTACTTCCAACCACACACCTCTACAGAGTATGTGTGCCAAATGACAAAAAAATGAACAAGGTACTGAAGCAATAGGTTTAATAAACATTACAAATGGCTCAAAAAGGACAAGACAGGCTACATATTACAGTAGAATTTGCCCACCCAAGTCTGGGTTGTTAAATAATACTGAATCTTTCCATTTTAGCAATGCAAATGAAACCTTCTTGGCCCTCTAGCACAGGGATGTCCAACCAGTAGGTCGTGATCTACTGGTAGATCCCCAGCTGACCCTGGTAGATCACGGGATCCTTATCGTGTACAAAAAGTTATGTGGGGAAAGCTAAAAAAAACCTCTGTGCAATTCTCCCCCAAAAAGCTCAGCAACTCTGGGCACTTTCCTCCTAAAAAAAGCTCAGCAATTCTGGGCAATCCACTCACACCACGCATGCTCCTCCTCCCTCCAATGACAATGGGTAGATCACTGTCAGTTTTTTATACTGGGAGTAGATCACAGTCTCTTGGGAGTTGGATATGCCTGCTCTAGCACAAGTCCACTCCACTCAACATTTCATCACCAGTCATGACCAGTTTTCCTGCTTAGCAGGGGGTTGGACTCGATGGCCCTTGTGGTCTATTCCAACTCTATGATTCTATGACATTCTGCCAGAACTATAGAACAAGAGTGAAAACTTCAAAGATCTCTAATGAAAATTTCTTCCTAATCTCACATATCCCTCACTGAGGCACCAGATTAAATAATAAAATATCCTTCATATAATATATGTTGTCCGCTCCCATGACAATAATTTGAAGTGGCTATTTTGGATTTTTACATTTTCTACTTTTAGTTAGCATTTTCTTCAGACTCCCAGGCTAAATTGAATAATGGATAGAGCCATTCCTCACATTTAAAATTTCTTTAACCTCCCTATTCAATTATTCCCTTGCTATTATATTGAGCTTTCTAATGCACAACACAAAGTCTGCTCCTTGTCCAGGTATCAGTCATCCAAATTCATTGGCCCAGTTCACATGTAACACTAACAACATATACATAAAATCAATTCAAATTCAATACAGAAACCAACAGAGTATTATCATTTTAATGGGTATTTTTAATGGTATTTGCTTTATGCTGCAGCGCAGTTCTGCAGTTGTTGTAGTTTGCTGCCTTGGACTCATGAGGAAAAGCAGGATAAAAATGTTTTAATCCAAAGAAGTAGAAAAGGAAGTAGAAAAGGAAGTCACCTATGCAATTTGTTTCTGACATGCATACTCCACAAACCAACAGATACCATACGATTCCTCACAATGAAAGCAGAAGGTGATGGTTACCTGGCTGTGCAGTGTGCTGGTGAGCACCTTCGGTGGGAAGCATCAGCAAGAACATCCAAAGAATAGAGAGGAGATAGTGGATTGAACTGGAAAGACAAGAGAGAATTGGTTAACATGTGAAGTAACGTTAAGTGAATACAGACAGTTGAACTATCCTTACCCAGTCTCTCTCACATCATCTGGAGTCTTACATTCCATATGTAGCGGCAGGCCAATTTCTGACCCCAGGCCACACTGCTCACTCATCTGGAGGAGAAAACCAACTGGACTTCGAACACACCTAGTCAAGAAGGCAACACCTTTCTCCACTCTCAAGTAAGAAAGAAAACCTCTACCAGTTAAGTCTGTTTTCATTTGTACAGAGCTGTGTACAAAGGAGATTGACATCCACCTTCACTGTGAGATGTTTCTTTGATCAGTCAACTTGAGAACCACCAGCATAGATGCCACTTTAGCATCACAAGAAGATCATTTGCAAAACTCAACTGCAGAAACAAATTGTTCTTTACAGAGATGTGAGCAACTGAAGCAATTAGCTTCACCAGTACTGATGATCACAGCATACTGCATTTATTTCTCCAGAAAAAGAACAAAACTTTTACCACAACGAGAAATATTTTCTTCTAGAAGGCAAGGGAGCAGCACTTGAGGTTCTTAAAAAAACACACTAAACACTATTCAAATATTAACAGAACATATGATACAGTCCATGTGGTCCAGAAGGAGTGAATTAAACAGTTGGATGCTAACACACATTCTTCCTGCATGTGCAAAACTAACATGTCAGTGATACAGCTGACCTCAATGGCTTCCTCCCATGTGCATGAGAAGACTAACATGCAACTCCCCATCAACCTATCTGTTGTAGCGTAGTCTCAGGAAGGCCCTGCTAAACAGCTGGATCAGTTCAATCTTCAATCACAGAGAACTTAAATAAATAGTAAGGAAAAGCACCAATAAACTACAGCATTGCAAGATGTCAGTTTTTACCCTATCAACTATCTCTATGGAAGCCTGCAAATTCCAACCTTCTAAACAACTGTAGTGCCTCTTACCACTTGCTCCCAACCAAACTTCAAAGAAATTCAAATTGCTAGATTGACTGGGTACTGCAAAAAAGCACTATTTCCTTTAAAAATAGATGCCCTCTTACTTTAATTTTGAACAATATAAACATATAAGTTATCCAGTTACCGGAAGCTCACTATAAAACCCAAGGAACTTCAAAATAATGTGAACAGCTGGTTGGAAAAAGTTTGGGCATACTGTAATCAGATTCACTTTCAGATGGATTATGAGTTCAAAATGAAGTATGTCACTGCAGATTTTTAAACTACACTTTTGAGCTTATTAAGAGATTTATTACTTTTTTGCTATCAAATGAGGAACACAGACCTCATCTGATTGATTAAATTGTAACTGAACTAACAACAACTCTGTACATTCAAGAGTTAGTCCATTAACCTTTTACACTGGTGTAAGTTAGTTGAGGCTGCAAATTTAATTGGGAGAATTGAAGTGTAAATATTCAGTGGCTCTCCTTATTAGCAGTGGGAACCAGAACATGGAAAAACCATCTCTAAATATACTTGGAATTACCAGCTTTCTCTCTGTCTTACCTGCACAGCTAAGAAAGTACCAGCATGGCTAAATAACCAAGTTAAAGCAACTATCAAATGCAGTAAGACTTCTTTTGAAGACAGGGAGAGAATGTTGTTGTTATTGATAATGAACAAACAATTAAAAGGGGCAGAGGGAGAAGACACTATGTTCTGGAAAAATCACATGAAAATTTATAATTTATTTATTCTTACATTTACATCCCACCTCTCCTTCAAGGAGTTCAAGGTGGCACATGTTTCTCCCTCTCCTCATTTTATCCTCACAATAACCCTGTGAAATAGGTTGGATCAGTCACTATTTCTCAGCCTAAAAATCACCAGCTGAGCCAATGGCCAAGAGGAGATTTGAACCATGGATTCTCAGGTCCTAGTCTGATGCTCTAACCACTACACTTTATTGGTGATTCAAGATGAACCGATAGAAAAATGCTTTAAATAATCAGAAAGCTAGATGGAAAGGCAGCTAGAAAGAGGGAAGATGTAGGAGAAGGCCAAAGTTTTAGGCCCTAGGGCACTGTTTCATACAAGGAGTCATTGTAAAGTAAGGTCTTGATGCATACAGTGTATGACCAAAGGAAGGTCTTTCGGCCTTGCACACAGGCTGCAAACGTGGAAGAAATTGGAGGCCACGATTTCATTCTTTCTAGAGACAGAAATCAAGTGAGAATATACAAGAGAAGCAAAGTACAGCCATCTTACCTGGTTGCGATCTCTCATTCCCATTGACGGCAACCAGAAACTAGAGAGATGGTAGAAGAGACGAAATTGGAGGAAGCATGAGAAAAGAATTGGAAAAAAGGAGGGGAAAACAGATGCACAGAGAAGAAAAGAAGAGAATTAAACATCCATGTAAGACAGATGCATTAAAGACAGGTTTAAGACAAGGGGAATTAATCTAGGTATCAATGGATGAGAGAAACTCAATCCAATGGATGCCACCCTTAAATTAACAGCAAAGAGTGGGGAAACCAGCACCCCATAAATAAAAGGGCAATTTCAGGCATGCTCATCCACCCACCCACATGTGTCCAAGAGGATATACTAATTCAGAAATGTAGATAATTCATTAGTAACAGAAGCTGGCGACTACCTTGGGTACCCTCCCTACCATAGCCCAGCAGCTCAGGTACTTCTAATACTGAAGTTTCTTTTATGAGTCTATGCTGGGTTCTTGTGCATTTTGCCAATTCACACAGTGCAAGAATGAGGAAGTTGATTACATTGACAGGAGCATTGCACTGGCTTCTTTTTTTTTATGCACAGTGGGAAGAGGATAGGAAATGCAACAGGAATACAGAAAGGCAAGCACATAATCCCTTCTTTAAGAGATGGCTTTCTAATAAAATGGGAGGATCCTCTCTGCAAGTTAAAGAAAGGACAAATTCTGTATTATGAGCCTCCCCCCCTCCCCCTCCCCAGACTTATAGACCTGTCAGCAGCATTCAGGTGCTTACTCTTTTTGGCAGGAATCACCAATGATGTGGCTAATCCTCTCAGTGCCCATAGCACTCATGATGGTCTCCTGAAACACAAAGTGACAGGGGGGAGAGCTGAGGCTACAATGGCAGATGACACTGGATGGCCTATTTATTTAAATCTGGGCCTGCCTCAATTGGGTTTTAAAAAGGATGCAGTAAAAGGCAGATTTTAAGAGAAGAGGAGCACACAGGTATTGGGATCTGAACCCTCCCCCAGCTAATCCCCTATAGTATGTTACCTGGACTGTCAGGGTTGGATACTGAAGAGAACCTGGCTGAGAGGGACTTCAGGAAGGTAAGCTGCAGCAGAAAGGCAAGTTTGATTCCTCTCACTGATGTGCCCCATATGCTCTTAAAACTAGGTCTCCTATCTCCATTTCTATGTGTGATTGGGGCAGACTCAGGCTTAAACGAACAGGTCTGCTGCTATCACATGAAATATGAGCCTCAGGCACTCTCCCTCCAAAAATCAGGCAGCACAGACACACATGACACACCCATAAGACAGTGCATTCTTGTTCACATGGGGTCAGAATAAATGCATTACCCTCTGAGCAATCAAGAAGTGTGACTCCAGCAGCCTTGCAAGAAGTTAACATTTGCAGGCAGCCCTTTAATGACTGGTGTTTTAATGTATTTTTAATATTTTGTTGGAAGCCGCCCAGAGTGGGGAAACGCAGCTAGATGGGTGCTATATAAATAATAATAATAATAATAAATAATAATAATAATAATAATTAACCTTCATGCTGATAAGAGAAAAATGTAATGGAAATTCATGTTTCCTACACTGCATAGAACTAACATGATGGATTCAGTCTGGGAGTGATTTAAGAACAGGAAACTCCTAGATAAGAACTCCTAGATGAAGAACTCCTAGATTAAGAACTCCTAGATAAAATCTCAAACATTCACATGAACATGTTAAAGTTTCATACATTCACTATCCCTATTAAAGTTATTGTGCAGAAAGTGAAGAGGATTTTATTTCCTCTTGCTTCAAGTTCCTTCTGTGTTTCTTTCATCGGCTTGCATTTTTTCTGCTCTGTTTAGGGAAGTAGGAAAGGAACGTTTAAGACCACCCGCTTTGCTCTTGGTTATTTAAAAGCTCTGACCTAAAGCCACAAGAGTCTTAATTCACTTATTTTCTGCTCCAGTTCATTAGGGTCAACAGATGCTAAAGTGCTTCAGTGGTGCTGCATGTGGGGGTTTTTTTTAAGTGTATATATGTCACATCATGTTCTACCTGTGTTAACCAGAACTACTTAACAATCTTGAGTAAATGAGCAAGTCCCAAATAAAAACTGATTAGTCTGCTCCTGTTTGTGCATGTAAAACAACAAAAACCTAGGACTGGATTAGAATATAAGAAATGTGGTCACTCATCAAAGATCAGCCCTCCGATCTGAAACATTACCCATCCCTCACAAGTGATTAATCACATGAGGCAGCTTGCAGTCATTTCTGGTACCCCAGCCTTATTATTTCACATGAATAAAAGCAAAGGTACCCAAGACAGAGAGGGCAATGGTATGTTCTTAGTAGATAAAATAGCTTTCAGAAACTCCACCCAGTGTCCTGTAGTTGCATATACTCACAGTTCTGTGCATGAGGTTGCTTGCCACACAGAACAAATTGCCAGAAGATTGGGATCAGGATCTGATCATCAATGGGTAGCTTATGGCCAGGAACTCTGAACACTATCACATGCAAGGTTTGTGGGGAAGCAGCAGCAGGGGTGAAAGATAGGCTATTTGTTACAGTAGAGAAATTATTAACTTAAAGTGCCGTAATGTTTAAATTTACGGTTTATTACTGTGTAAATTACAAGCCGTACTTTGGGTAATTAGCAGCTCGCTGGCAGGGAGCTTTGAATGAAACTCATTATTTATTATTACAATTTAGAAGAGAATGGGGGAGGGAGAGCAGTGACCTCCACTGCAAATGACATAGATCCCTTTAAGGTGATGAAGATAAATTAAACAAGTAAATATTATTCTTATTTTGGTTCATTAGAAGTGCCTCCTAAAAGCTTAGGGCCCTAGGCTCTTACCAGTGGCCTAGTCAAAGGCACTGTATTCACCACAACTAAATCTGCAATTCAACAGTATTTAACTTAGCAAGATTAATAGAGCTGGGGTGTGAAAAATCTGTCAAAGACAGAGAACAAAAAAGGAAGGGACACCACCCTCCTGTACAGATGAACCAGTTAACATATAGGCTTTATGAACACAAACTCCCAATGCACAGAACTAGATCTGGAGTTACACTGAGTGGAATTTTACTAATTCCACAAGGAGGGAGGTGAGAAGCAACTTTTGCCCATTCTCCCTTCCCTTTGTGCATCTCTCCAAATATCTGCTATGCAGGTTTGGGAGACCCTACACTCCAGTGTTGGAAGTGGTAGAAGAGGAAATTGGCTAAAATGAACGCACCCTGCCTCACTCTGCCTCCAGAAGAGTCTACATCAGTCCTGTCCAAAAACACAAGGAATTATGTTTACAGAGGGAGATGCCTGGATCCAACCCATAGAGCTTCCAACTTCCACTCAGACAAGGATTAATTTTCCTTCAGCGAGAGCTCCAGGTGAGTAAACTATTTAAAGGGTCCAGCTTCCCACAACAAACTCTGCAAACTATATTCAACCAGCCCCTTAAAGTTTAGAAAGCAAAGGTTGCAGAACTCCAGCTTTACCATACAAATGCTTATGATGCATAACTCAAAACCAGAATCCCTGCAGTCAATAGCCTTTACCTTTCAGCATTTAAACACAACACACGTTCCACACTATATACCAGTGACTATGTATTACAAAGTATTTCAAAATCTTCCACCCCAGCTAATAATACTGCATTTCAGGGATTCCTTCCTTGCACCTTACAACTGGCTCTTCCAGTATTGTTTTTAATATTTGGTTGGAAGCCACCCAGAGTGTCTGGGGAAACTCAGCCAGATGGGCGGGGTATAAATAATAAAGTAGTAGTAGTAGTAGTAGTAGTAGTAGTAGTAGTAGTATACTGCACTTTTATAGCCCGCCACCCTCCTTTCCTCAGCACTGTCCTATTGTCTAGTTTCCTGAAGCTTATGGACTTCTTAAAATTAGCTTTACCATGACTATTTGCAAGTAGCTAAGAAGTTTTGACATATGTCAACACATGAAGCAAATCTAAGGCCCATTCAAACTTTTCTTTGTCCTGTGATTTGGTCAAGTATTTTGTATCGATCTATCATCTAGGGTCCGAGATGGTATTTTGTCCCATGACTTTCCCCAGGAAAGCCTGCTGTTTACTGCTGAATCAGACCAAATGTCAATCCAAGAAAAACCCAAAGATAAATTTGTTCCTCTTCTGAACCAGTTATAAAATAGCTCCTGAACAGGATTTCATGCTCTTTCCTGGGATAGGCGTTGGGAGTGGTCTGCTTCTACCTCCTTTCCTTCTTTCCCTGCCGACCCCTGCAGGATCATGTTTCAACTTGTGTCTCCCGCTTCTGGTTTTCTTGGAGTGCTTGCATTTTTTTATTTATTCTACTTTCTCCAGCTAAGCAATCACATAAAAACTGCAGTCAAATTATATACACGTTCCTGCTTTGGTTGGAACCATCATAACCAATCAAAGCTTTATTTTCTGTCTTTAATAATAAGTATTAAATAATACGTATTGGAAGGGTTCCAGCTCCTAATGATCATTTTATTATCTCTTTTTCTGATTTCCCAGTTTTCTGATTCTGTGACTCTTTGCTACAGGTGGGCAGAGTTGAAGGTGCAGACAACATAAAAAGTGGACTGGGGCAAAAAAAATCACAAGTATACAACCCCGAACTGAATTGAAAACAGGTCAAAGACGGAAAATGTGTCTGGGCAAATTGTTGCACTTTCAGCTGCAGGTAGATCTCCTGCAAGTGATGCAGCAGTCACCAACAAATTACTATTCTAAAAAAGCAATACCTTGCTCACCAGCCTCCTACGGCCCTTCCTGAGGCAGCGGGTAGGAACACTGGGAAGACGGTTCAAGCGGGCATGAAACCCTGGGTGGGGAGAGGAAAGAAGAGGACGCTGAAGACAGAACAGTACCAAAACAAAGACCACAATAAACAATTAGTTATAATACAGAAACAAGAAACTAGACTGCATTCCAATTTCCAAATCTACCTACAATATTGAGCTTGGGCATGCTGTTATGCTCTCTGTATTTCTCTCTATTTACATAACCTATATGAAGAGTGACCATAGCCATATGGCAAGAAGGCAGCATGGGTTAAAGCACCCTCTTCTGACACTGTTGTAATGCATGCTAGGTGAGTAGTATTCTCGCACCAAGAGCACTGAAAGTTGACGGTACTGACCAAGCTACTTAGGATAATAGGCATAATCATACATAGTCAGAACACCTTTCTGTAAGTCAACCTGCATTTATCCACAATAAATTAGTATTTGCTTCTCAGCTACATGGTGAGTGACAAATTTCACACATCTATTAAGGAATCTGACTGACATACAGTGTCTGTCTGACTGCACAATGAACCTCCACTTACACAACCTCTCTCCCCCACTCCTCCCCTTCTAGCTCCATATCATCTCCAGAGCCCCACCCCCAGCAGATTTTAGAAGCTACAAGCAGGAAAAGGAAGGAGGAGTCTGCTCACACAAAACCGGATGTTACCCGCAAGCATTTCAACTGTGTCAACTTTCTCCACAACATTTATTGAGAATCTCACCTCTTGTAGCTGGCCGAGAGGGCAGAAGGAATGTTGGATCTGAGATTTTTTCAAGGCTGGAATCCATTCGTTCCATGTCAGACTGGCGGTCAGTTCCCCACTTGGGCAGGAGGTTGGGAACCGTGAATCCTGAGACACATTCTCCCTCATAGAACCAATCGCTCTGTTCATCATCACCTAAAGGAGAAGGAAAAAGCTGATCCAACACTCCAAAAATCGACATCATTTGAACACTGTTGGTTCTCTCCAAGCTATAACAATGAAATAAGCAGCATTTACTTGTATGAACATTCCTTGCTAGAACCATTATGTTTGCTCATATACCTAGAACGCAGAACTTTATCCTACATGTATAACAAAATGTCTGAACATTATTGTTTGTGTTCCAAGGTGAATTTGTTCTTTATGTTTGAGCACAAGAACACGTTTAATTGTTAACTCATTGTCTATGGTAAGAAATAGTTTGTTAGCAACTGCACAGCTTTATGATACGCTCTATGTAGGGCTACCTTTAAAGGTCTCCACCCCCATCATCCTGCTCGGACACTGAGGTCTAGTGCCGAGGGCCTTCTGGTGGTTCCCTCCCTCCGAGAAGCCAAGTTACAGGGAACCAGGCAGAAGGCCTTCTCAGTAGTGGCACCTGCCCTGTGGAACACCCTCCCACCAGATGTCAAAGAGAAAAACAACTACCAGACTTTAGAAGACATCTGAAGGCAGCCCTGTTTAGGGAAGCTTTTAATGTTTAATAGACTATTGTATTTTAATATTCTGTTGGAAGCCACCCAAAGTGGCTGGGGAAACCCGGTCAGATGGGCAGAGTAGAAACAATAAACTATTATTCTTATTATACAACTATATATACGTTGTAAAAAAAATCAACCTGAATTTGAAAGCTAGAGGAAGACCCCTCAGCCTTCAAAAAACTGGGGGGGGGGGGATCCAAACAAGACTCACAAAAGTGGGGGGGTGTCACATTTTCTCAAATACACACAGTATTTCAATGCTGAGACAATGCAACTGCCCCATGAGAAAACCTCTGCTTTGAAGGAAGGCATAGATTTGTTGCAACAGAAGAACAATTACAAGTTTACTGAACAAAACCAAACACAAGACATAAGCATTTAGAAAAGGCATACAATTTTCTCTCAAGACCAATTAAGAATACATGAAACCCAATATTCTCTGGTACTACTATTGTCTAGCACTTACCTAATTAGGACATTAACTCTGAGTAGTGGTCTTTTCTACTTCATCCTTACACATCAAAAAAGCAGTGCTGAGAGCAGTTGGCCATTTTTTTCTAATATTCTATATTTCTCAACATGGATGCTGCTAAATATTCTCTGACAGCTTGCTAGCTCTCCAGTTTTATTATGATTTAGAAAGTAACAAAAAGGACTGTTTTGATACTGAACAAGAGTCATGATCTAAATTAACAGAAAGTCTTGTAGCAGCTTAAAGACTAACACATTTATTATGCAATAAGCTTTAGTCTGTGATTATAATCCAAGGACCTTCTTCAAGTGCCTCCTCCATGAGAACAGACCTTTTTGGTGGTGGTTCTTCATTTGTAGACTGCTCTCCCCAGGGAGGCTCAGCTGGTGCCTTCATTACATATCTTTAGGCCCCAGACAAAAACGTTTCTCTATAACTAGGCCTTTGGCTGATTAACATTCTATGGCCCTTTAAACGTGTTGGGTGGGTGTGTTTTATTATGCACTTTGTGTTCTCATTTTGTATTTTGAAGTTGTGAACAGCCCTGTTATCTTCAGATGAAGGGCAGTATGCAAATTTAATAAATAAATAAATGTATAAATACTTTAAGCATAAAATTAAAGAAGAGAAACATAAGAATGTAGTTACCTTGGCGACCTTCATCATTGGTAAAAAGGCCAGTGTCACTACTGCTGCACACACTACTGGTTTCACTGAAAAGAGAACAGAGAAAATTAAGCTCAAATGCAATTGATATAATCCACTTTGCAAAAACTCTTCACTGCAGGAGGGTCTCAAAGCACTTTCTAGACAGCACACAATAATGGTATTGCTTTATTCGTCTTTACAGCCTGGTTGACCCACACATGGGATGTCAGGAGACACTTAAATGAGCAGCACAGTGGTGGCCTATCAATTTAGATGAGTATCACATATGAATCTTATAAAGGGTTTTGATATATAGTAATCCTAAAAAGCAAATTAGTTTAGAGACATTGATTAATATTCCTGCAGATGCTATTTTACTAAGAAAGAAACCAGGAGAGGGTAAGCAAACAGGTGTTTCAGTTACCCAATTATGGGAGAGTAAGTGTTATTATTATTATAAATTAAATTTGTATGCTGCTCTTCATCCGTACAGGAAGGGCAGTTCACAATATGAAAATACAAGATAAAAATTGTTAATGTGTGCCAATGACATCTAGCTGCTGTATACTCTATTTCTTCTTCTCCTACAGTCATAATGAAGAATATAGTGCAAACACAATGGTAATACTGTGTATTAACACCTCCACTGTCAAAAGTAGTATGTTTCTGAATACCAGTTTTCTGGGAATCACAGGTAGACAGGATACTACTGCATTCAGGTCCTGCTTGTGTGCTTCCCACAGGCATCTGTTTGGCCACTGCAACAGGATGCTGGACTATTGGCCTGTTCCAGTGACATAACATACAATATTTTAGCCTCTCTTTCAAATGGTATCATGTCTTATAAGAAAGAATTATATGAAGCACATAAGCAGCTGCCAATTACGCCAGGCTTTCAATTTGGTCACTGCAATTCTATTAAGAGATAGTGCTCCCCTGAACACCAAAGTTCAACTTGAAAATAAGTAATACAGATATCTGTAAAATGACTGGCTTCCAAGAACACTAAATTTGTATGGGGGGATTTAATTCTGGGATTAGAACAATTCAATTATTGTGGTGCATTGGGAAAGACAAGCACAAAATTCACTTGGAACGTGTTACATTTCATGATTTAAACTACAAGAAACAGCAGAGCATAACAGCAAATAAAAACCAGAAGAATCAAGAAAATAGGAGTAGTCAACATGGTGCCTTTCAGATGGTTTGGACTACAGTTCCCGTCAGCCCCAGGCCCCCAGCCAACATGGTCAATTGTCAGGTTTCATGGGACTTGTAGTTCAAAACATCATGTTGGCTATCCCTGCAATAAAACCAGTTATTGTAGGCCTGGGCAAATAAAAAAGGGTCTTCACATGGTGCCAGCAAAGACATCAGACTTGACACTAGGAAAGCCCTTTCTCTGGCTGCTGCCCATCTAGCTTCAAAGTATGCATGAGTGTTGTGGGGAGACTCGGAGGGTGACATCCAGTAAAAATAATAGCCTTTGGGCAGTCTCATGCAGCAGAAAATGGTCCTTCAGGTAGCTAGATCTTAAACCATTTAAGGGTTTAAAGGTAATCATCAGCATTTTCTATTTTGCCCAGAAACCAGTGAAGTTGCTTCAGGACTGGTGAAATACACTCCGTTTACTAGCTTTCAAGAAGTGTTCAAAGGCAGTTCTACATACTTCCTTCAATAGTCATGGAATGAAGAATGTTGGTTCTGCAGTTATTTGGCACTGTTCAATCATGACACAATGAGCAAATAAGAAGATGTATTCGAAGAAAAATAACTGTAGGGAATGAAATTATATTCTCCTTCAGACATGCCAGCAATCTGTTACAGAATAATTAAGAGTACAAAGAAAATGAGAACAACTGATTGGGTGTTTGCAAGGCAAAGTGAATGATGATATGAGACATGTTTTATGAGCAGTGGAAATATTACAGAATTTCTCAGCCTTACAGTCATTTTGTCACTCTAACTGATGAAACTTGAATTTTAACCAGCAGATGAGTATTAGATTAGTTAACACCAAAGGGACACCATTGACAAAATCTGATGGATAAGAAGATGCAGTTGGAAAGGGGACTTACATTTCTTATAGGATAGCGGTGTATGTACAGTGATTAACTTTCTTTGCCTATTGATTTCATTAAAATGCAAAATAATTTGATTATTTCTGAAGCTCTATAGCTATTCATTGTATGTCAAGCAAACAATTCCCAGTACCAAACAGACACTTAGACAATACCCTGTCAACTATTCTGCTTTATTTCACTTTCATAAAGTATTATTTCACAAAATGAATCTAAAAGATATAATCAGGAGCCTCTTGGGATATTATCCAATGAAGTAGTCCCATTTGCGCAACAGAATTTCCCCTACATCTTCCTCTCCCCATCCACCCCCTAATCTGCTTCAGAGAGTTGGGAGAAATTCCCAGAATAGATTTGGGAGAACATGGTGGGGGAGGAAAAGAGCAGTTACAGAAGAAGTTTTGCACAAAAAGGACAACTTTGTTGAATACAACTCAGTTTCTTGTCAACAACTCAAGATAATACAGTAGGCGAAGTGCTGCTAAGTGTGAGCACCTTTGGGAGGACAGATGGGATATAAATTTAACAAACAGATAACTAATGAACCCAGGGTAGAAGAATCCCTGCTCACAAACTTCTAGTCATTCATTTGGTCATCTGCAGTGAATTATCCAGACACAGCAGTCTGGCAAGTCAGCCATGCTACAAAGTAATAACATATGCCCAAACTGGCTTTTTTAAAAAAGGTAACAAGTAACATTTACAGTGGTACCTTGGTTCACAAATTTAATCCGTTCCAGAAGTCTGTTCTTAAACCAAAACATTCTTAAGCCAAGGTGTGCTTTCCCATAGTAGCGGGGGACTCAATTTACAAATGGAACACACTCAACAGGAAGCGAAACATGTTCTGCTTTCAAGGCAAAGTTCACAAACCAAAACACCTACTTCTGGGTTTGCAGTGTTCTTAATCCAAGTTGTTCATAAACTAAGCTGTTCTTAAACCAAGGTACCACTGTACACTTATTTGCAAGGCTGCATGCAGCCATGAACTTCACTGGGTTACTTGCACAAGTTACTGTGTATATAATCCGCCTTTCAGGATTGTTGTGAAGTTAAACTTTCATGCTGGCCTATTTTAATGAAGCGTGGAATACAAATACAATAACAAAAGACAACTGCTGATTTGGCACTCTTGTGTACTTCTTATGTTCCTCCTAACTTCTGAAAACCAGCTTTTTACTACTATAAAACTTCAAGAAGCAATCACACTATAGTCTGAGCTACAAGAAATACCACTCCAAATTTGCACACAGGAAATACCAACATATTACACACAGGAATGGGGAACGTAATGCCTGACATCAGCTCAATACCAGTCTTTTATTAAAGAGGCTTTCAGTGCAGCCACAGAAGACAACATCACAGAACCAGGGTTTGCAATTCGCTAGTTGCCAGGTGCGTTTTGTGACAGGAGTGGGTCCAACTGCAACTATGTGGAGATCTCTGGATGCCAGATTGGCAACTGACTTCTCCATCTGGCTGACTCCCAACTTTCTTAAGCAGGTAAGCAGAAAAGCCTTATTAAGTGCATTTATATCCCACCTTTTTCTCCAAGGAGTGCATGGTTCACCCCATTCTCGGAATCCTTACAATGATCCTGTGAGGAAGGTTAAGAGGCTATAACTGGCCCAAGGTCACCCAGTGAGCTTCATGACTGAGTGGGGATTTGAACCCTGATCTCCAAGGTCCTATTCTGACACTCTTAACCACTATAGTCTGAGCTATAAGAAATACCACTCCAAATTTGCATCATCATTTGTAATATCTCCAGGAAATGCAAACGTATTACACACAGGAATGGGGAACATAATGCCTGACATCAGCTTAATACCAGTCTTTTGTTAAAGAGGCTTCCTAGAGCACTTCTACTATGGAGCAGCTATATAAAATTTAAGTAGGTAAATAAATACAGTGTAGGGAAAGCAAAATGTCACTTAAGAGAAGGATCTGAAATATTTTCCTTGAAACTTTTATTTGTTTTATTCTGCATTGTTTTATTCGATGTTTTAATATGCTGAAAAGCGCTTCGGGATTTTTTTCTTTCAAATATGAAGTGGTATAGAAATGAATAACAACAATAGTAAATTACATAAACCCCACACAAAAAATGGCACCTAGACATTCTGTGGCTGCGACCACAACCTAGGTTTAAGGTGCCATTTGGTAATTAGCTTATATATATGGATTTCTAACACTTGACAGCATTGGGGAATCTTCCAACCAAGGCCTTCTTGTTTGGGCATGTTGTCAGGAGTTCATACAGTGGTGCCTCGCAAGACGAAATTAATTCGTTCCGCAAGTCTCTTCGTCTTGCGGTTTTTTAGTCTTGCGATGCACGGTTTCCCATAGGAATGCATTGAAAATCAATTAATGCGTTCCTAGGGAAACTGCCTTCAGACCAGGTCCGGGGACAGACTGTCCCCGGACCTCTTCTGAAGGCTGGGGGGGGGGGGACAAGGGCTTTTCTTCCCACCCCCAGCATTTTAAAAAACCCTGGGACAGCGGAGGACTTCTCCGCTGTCCGGGCGATCTTAAAATGCTGGCGGGCGGCATTTTAAAATCGCCCCGGGACAGCGGAGGACTTCTCCGCTGTCCGGGGCAATTTAAAAGCCCCTGGGAAGGCAGGCAGGGGGGACAAAGACTTTCGCCCCCCGCCCGCCTTCAGAAGGTGTTCCCGCCCCCCCCCCCGCCCGGCTTCGCAGCAGCGCTACGAAGCCCGGCGGCTGGGGCAGGTGTTCCCGCCCCCCCACCCCGCTTCGGAGCAGCGTTCCAAAGCGGGGTGGCTGGGGCAGGTGTTCCCGCCCCCTGCCCGGCTTCGCAGCAGCGCTACGAAGCCCGGCGGCTGGGGCAGGTGTTCCCGCCCCCCCCACCCCGCTTCGGAGCAGCGTTCCGAAGCGGGGTGGCTGGGGCAGGTGTTCCCGCCCCCCACCCGGCTTCGCAGCAGCGCTACGAAGCTTGGCGGCTGAGGCAGGTGTTCCTGCCCCCCACCCCGCTTCGGAGCAGCGTTCCGAAGCGGGGTGGCTGGGGCAGGTGTTCCCGCCCGGCTTCGCAGCAGCGCTACGAAGCCCGGCGGCTGGGGCAGGTGTTCCCGCCCCCCCACCCCGCTTCGGAGCAGCGTTCCGAAGCGGGGTGGCTGGGGCAGGTGTTCCTGCCCCCCGCCCGGCTTCGCAGCAGCGCTACGAAGCCCGGCGGCTGGGGCAGGTGTTCCCGCCCCCCCACCCCGCTTCGGAGCAGCGTTCCGAAGCCCGGCGGCTGGGGCAGGTGTTCCTGCCCCCCCACCCCGCTTCGGAGCACCGGGAGAAGCGATCTCCCCGCAGCCCCTTGCTTCAAAAGAGGTCCGGGGGCAGACCTCTTTTGAAGCAAGGGGCGGTGGGGAGAAGCGATCTCCCCGCCGCCCCTTGCTTCAAAAGAGAAGACCCGCTGCGAAGCAAGCCCATAGGGAAATTCGTCTTGCGAGGCAACTCAAAAACGAAAAAACCTTTCGTTTTGCGAGTTTTTCGTCTCGCGAGGCGTTCGTCTTGCGGGGTACCACTGTATTGTATTTCTTTTACATTTTATATATAACACTCTGTTTTAGAAGCACCACCACCTACTCCAAATTCCCAAGGTACGGTGGTGGAACTAAACTAAACTAATAAATCACTAGATGGTTGTTACAGGTCAACAGAATTATATATTTTACTGTAGCTTCAGCGCAAAGGTTCATGCAAGGAAACCAGTTTCTTCAACCTGCACACAGATGGCAAAGCACACTATCCTTTAGTATAGGCCTTGCAGTCCAGTAAGCACTGATTAATGACCTCCAGTTACAATGGAGACTACTTACTTTAACCACAAAATAATGAATGCTATTGATCCGACAAGCTACTGCTATAGAGTGTTATTGATCATCCAATCTTTTGTTAAAATGGCCCTCATTTAGCAGCTGCACTGTTGCAAACACCTGGAGCAAAGCATGCCTATAATTAAATAGCCTGGAAGAGTTAAATTGAGAGGTGATGGACAGATCTCAGCTCTCCCCCATTTAGTCCTGCTCCTGAGCTATTGTTTGTGTCAGGAAGGATATTGATTTTCTATAAAAATAAGAAAACAAGAGGCACAGAGGGGGTGCAGAAGGTCAGGCCGGGCTGAAGGAGGTGGGGGAGGCTGACACTCTGTCTCTGTCACTTGCCTTCTAGGAGTAGGGATTCCCCCCCCCCCAGGCAACCTCTAATACATTAGCTCAACCGGGCTCTCAAGAGCTACTTCAGGCTATCACCAAACAAACTGCCCGTCAAAGGAGAAAATAAGTGAACAACAAAGAGGGAAACAAGTGGGTGGTCTGATAAGACTAGTATTTAACAAGCCATGGAGTGCAGCAACTAAGGTGGTGATTCAGCATGGTGTTTTAGTTAGAATCAAGCACTACAAAGAAAAATCTATTTAGCGTTACCAAAAGGAAGTTAAGATATACTCAGCAAGTCTAAAAGACCTGAATCAATTTTGTTAGCCCTACTAATAGAAGTACAAATTTACTGTTCCTATGAACATTGGTTGGCTACAATTTTACTATTGTCCCTCCAAAACATGCCTGTGTCAGCCTTACAAATGGCAACAAAAGCATTTGACAGCACAAAGCTTTGAACTGCAATCCTAAACACCCTTCTAGAAAGTAGGTTCCATTGAACACAGTGGAACTTACTTCTGAGTATATAAGCACAGGATTGTGATATAAATTAATGCAAGAACTCAGCTAATGTCCTGCCTGGAAAGAACACAACTGCTACTAAAAAAAAAAAAAATCTAAACATTAAAGGCTCCATTTCTACAGTGGTTCTATTTCTTGTGAGGTTGTGGACGGGTTTTAAAGCAGAGGTGTGATGGTCATTTGTCTTGGTTGTCTTTAGTTGACATTCCTACACTGCAGGGGGTTGGACTAGATGACCCTTGGAGTCCCTTTCTATTATTCACAACTCTACTGCAATCATCAGCATGTACCGTTAATTTGTATGCCCTTTCTTTGGAGGATTTTGCTCCAAGTAGTTCACAGCTTGTCAAATGAAATACAGTATGTTATATCAGCTACATGATACAAAAGAAAGGCCTAAACATCTCACCATTCTGACATGTTTTCATCAGAGCCTTGTTTCTGTTCATCTGCTTCACATTCCATCCTCTCATTTCTTCCCCCTTTGTTGAGGAAGGCTCTCGTCTCTGCCGACTCACAAAGTCCTCGGCTTGATGATGTCCAAGGAGCATTCTCCTTCCAACGTGACAAGCGCTGCTTCTTAGCAGATTTGAACCTGCAACCCTTCTCATAACTCCATTCAGATACTCTGAGTTTTTGCTGGAGGCTAGCAGCCACCTCTGAAGTCACACGCTTAACTTTTCGACGGCGCCTTAGCGGCCGGCAAGGTGCATTCTCAGTGAATGAGTCTGACTCGTGCCACGAGTGCTGCTTACTTCTCAGAGTTGCACTGAGCGCTGGATGGCGTTTGGCTACTGCCATGTCATCTGAGTCACTGAAGTTAGCAGTCAGCACTTCCCGGCAGTCCTCAACAACTTCATCCAGGCTGGATTCAGATGCTCCACTGTAGCAACAAGCATGCTCTGCTTGGTGTGTTAGGTCTGAACGCCGTTTGCGTCCTCGCCTTTTGCGAAGCTGCCGTCGCTGCTGCCTTGGGCTAAGAGTCATTTCTTCCCACAGCTCATCCAGCTTGTTCTGTTCAGAAGTCTGCTCAAGGGCTGAGGCCAAATCATGCACCAATTCATCCATGGGCAATGTCTGCCAAAATAAAAGTAAACAATTAGAACTAGCCATCATGTTAGAACATAAAATTCACATCATGTACTTTCAGCCTAGTAACCAACGCACATCTACCAAAAACTGTTTTTGATTCTATACCACAATTGTGGCTTGCCTTTTTAAAAATTCTTCACCTTTCCAGCTAAAGGTACTGAAGTGTACTTTGCCTCAAACACACCCCAAGACTACTTTTCTACTTAAGGAAACATGGGGAAAGAAAACTGACCCCAAAAACTCCTCACAGGAAAGAAAAGCTCTGTTCAATCTCTCCAAGACAAGTAGGAACTACGGCCCAAGGAGCCTTACGAAACCATCTCAGCTATATAACCAGGCTGTACGAGTAACCTGGATGAAGTACTGTACACAACAAGAGTTATCACATCTCAGTCTAATATATCCTATGGGTTCACTGCAAGAATAAGTGAAGTGAAACAATGTTCACCACCCTAAGCTGCTTTGAGGAAGTGTGTGGTGGGATTGTGATCCCAACTGGCACCCTGTAGTCTTTAGAACCGTTTTTATCACTACACGTACGTGACCATCCATAAAGCATGCCACATATAGTATCAAAAAAGAGATGGCTAGCAAACTTGTTACAAGGGACAAGTTAAGAAATAATTTTCGGTTTGCAACGCTGCTCCTAACTTGCTCTTACATCCATTTCACCCGGCCTGCCACTTTGCATTAGCGTTTGGTGAGAGAATGGAAACAGGAGAGGCTATTCCTTTTTCCTAACCCTCATTCTTATCCCAGCTGCTGCCTGAACCCTAACGGGCAGGCAGCCCCAGGTTCGCTCCCTAGCAAGGACACCTGCCTAAAACCCAGGAGGATGGCCGCTGACAGCCAATGGAGGCAACACCAGCTACTTCCCTGCTTACCTTCTCCTTCAGAAACTGCCTCCCCCTTCAGCAGGATGGCACCGAATACCAGCGAATGGCGAGCAACAATAGGAAAGGGGCCTATTGTCCTCGCGTCTCTGCCTGCGTCGACGGGACGGCGAGATGGGCGGACTCGACGGGAGCCCAACAGTCTTCCTTGCGCGGCGGCCGCCTCCGTAAACAACCACCGCACCCCGCCCGCCTGCTCGGGCTGCCTCCCCTGAAGCACCAAGGGCCTCTTCGCTCTAACCAGCCCGGCCGGCCTCCCCCCCTCTCCCTCCCTCGCCCGTTTCCGCAGCTCGGCCTCGCCTTCCGGAGACTTCGCCCCCGGCCCCTTCCGACGGCTTACCCGGCTCCCGCGACGGCCTCTCAGGCCTCATCCACCCCTCACCACAGCCGCCTCTTCCGTAGGCCTCTCCAACTCGGCGCCGAGTCCGTTCCACACGCCACTTCCTGTTCTCGGAGCGGAGACCTGCGGGCGAACGGGGTGGGGGTCGGAACGTCACTTCCTCCCCTTGCAGAAGCGGTGACGTCACACCCCTGACCGGCTTCGTCTCTCTCGCTCTCTCTCGGACGCCGCAGTGCCTCGGCTGAGGCGGGAGGAGGAGGGGACGGCGCTGAGCGGGTTTCCTCCTCTTCCCCACTTGCCTGTCATGTCCAGACATCCTTGGGGTGGCTTCCGCGCGGAGCTGGAAGGCGGCAGCCCAGCCCAGCAGCATCCCCCTGTGAGGGAGGTGGGGCTCTGTCCTTCTCGAGAAGGGCTTATCCACGCCCAGCAACTACGAGTTAGGTCCCAAGGACAAAACACGCCACCCGCGTGTCCAGATCGGTGGCGAGGTGGAAAGCGTTTTTGGTCCTCCCCGAGGCTTTATTTTCCCGTCTGATGAAATGGACGAAAGCTTGTGCCATAATAAGTTTTAAGATGCCACGAGGTTCTCGGTTTTGCTCCTTCATACTACGTTAGTAAAGCGAGAGGGAGAGGCAAACTACGCGCGTGCCTCTTTCGCAGTTCAGAAGGTACGCGTGTATTTTGTGCTTAGATGTCCTATGCAAAGTGAGCATCAGCCCAAGCGGTCCCTTTTTTCTTTGTTCCATTTATATTGTGTTTTTCCTCCTCATGGATACTCAGATCGGGGTACAGAGCAGGTTCCTATGCAGGCACTGACTACACCTGCTTGACTGCAAAAAAAAATTAATTGTTCGGTACATCTGCTGCCAGAAGTCAGAACATCAGGACTGTGGTTCTTTCACTTTAGATTTTGTGTCCAGAGCATTCAGTCAGATTATTGCTTTCACTTTAGATTTTGTGTCCAGAGCAGACTATTGCTCTTGTCTTTTCCACCTATGTAGAATAAGTTAGTACTGTTCTTTATTTGGGGCTTTGTATATTTAACGAATCCCCATTCAGTTATGGAGCTCCTTGAGTGACCTTGGGCAAGTTATTCTCAGTCTAACATACACCACAGAGCTGTTTTGAGAATAATGGTGGGGGGGGGGGTTACATCCCCTTGGACTCAGTAGAGAAAAGGCATTAATAAAGAAGTTACCCCACGCATTCAGCACAAAGGCATTAATAAAGAAGTTACCCCATGCATTCAGCACAAACTTGAAGTTTAGAATGGTGAGTTTAGTCTACACAATTACGAGAAGATTGGAATTGATGTAGAGCAGAGTATAATAACATGGGGGCAGTGAAAGCAATCACGTCTTGGAACAGGTGGGGGATACCACACTTCCTCCCACACTGTAGAACTGCACTCTTAGCCAGCATGACTGTACGAAAAGGTGGTTGGAAGTCAGCCTTGTGTTTAATGAGTCACCTACTAACCATTGGCAATAAGGAATTCCATGCAGGCAAGTGAGTGCACTAGCATGGGGTGGGGACAGCCCGCTTGCCAAAAAGGAAGGGAAAGACATTCCTTATTGGCCTGCATGGAAATGCAACAGGCTGCTCAAGGATTTTGGACTGCAACTCCCATCATCCCTGATCATTACCCATTTGGACTGGAGTTGTAGTCTGAAAGATCAAAAAGGCGCTAGACAGAGGATGGCTGCATTAGAATGCCCCGAGTTGTGAGGCAGTTCATCACTTTATTTGGTGGTATTCACATGGAATTGGTGAACTGGATACACTTTTATTTATTTTTAATGATTTTTTGTAACAAATTTAACAAAATGTGACGGGGAAAACCAATCAGCTCCCATTAGCAATACAGTAACCATTAACAATTAATTTATATAAAAATGATATAAGCCTTCCAAAATGTCCAGATATGTATCCACACAAAGTTGGAATTTGTATAAAATATGTTCAAATGTAGCAAGGGCAATGAGGTACTCAAGCCATACAGTGGTGGCAACCACAAGGGCTCACAAAATCCTCTTTTGTTGTCCTGCTGTTAATCCCCATACTACAGGAATATAATCTTAGAACACATGAACCGTGAACCTCTGCAAATATCAAGGATACAAAATGGATATGGACAACAACTTTAGTCTAAAAATAAATCTTTTATGTCCACATAAAAACTATAGACTTTTTATTATGGAATTGTCTTAGAAGGTGAGAATTACCCTATTATTCGGGTTGTCAAATCTGTTTCTCATGGAGTGATTTCCATATAAGTGACTAATCTCATGCCCGATCCCTCCACAGAACCATAGAAATCCTCCGACCACATTGTGATAAGAATGGCTAAATATGGCATTTGCTTCCTGACAATTCAATGAAGGCAGCACACTTTTCAGAGAGCTATCTGACTTTTAGAAGACACTTGAAGGCAGCCCTGTTTAGGGAAGTTTTTAATGTTTGATGTTTTATTCTGTTTTTAATCTGTTTGGAGCCGCCCAGAGTAGCTGGGGAAACTCAGCCAGATGGGCGGGGTACAAATAATAAATGATGATGATGATTAGTTTGTGAGGAACAAACTAAATACTCGGTGCCCCAATCCTACCTGCTCTTTGGTCCAGGAGTAATAATATCAGGATTATATTATGGGGCTTTATGTGATTCTGGGACCTGAACCCTCACAGTTGCGCAAGGGTAGCTACTAACATTCTTGTACTAATGGCAATAACCTGTGCTTGCCACCACATACGCAGCTATGGCACCTCTAACTTATGCAATACCTTATTGACCCTCCTGGACTACAGGAACTACCCCTTATGTGGCTATTGGTTCTGCCCTCATTTGCAGGGCATATCTGCAATGCTCCAGGCCACTGCTTATGTTGCTATAGCTAAAACCAATCTACTGAATTTCACCCCCACGCTGCATATTTCCACATGGACCCATTTAGCAACATCATGTTGGGGAACCATATTGTGTGTAGAAATCAAGTCAAGTGACCTACAGTACATCTATGCCTCTAGTCTAACCTTCAGTTCACCTGCCTGATTTACTAGTGTATACAGTGTCTTGCCACAGTTTATGAAGTTCTTATTTATGAAAATACCAGTGAGTAGTTCTCTGACCTCTAGCCTTTATATAACTGAAAGTAACATTTCTCCATATTGAAGTTCTGACATTCTTGTATTGATTCACTTAAGATTTGTGCTTTGGCAGATCCTTTGTTTGGACTCTCTTTTCCTTCCTATCTTGACCTGTGCATAGAAATCATAACTTCAGTGGTTATTGTGGCCCCATATGCTCTCCAGTCTGTCATATTAAGGTTACACAGCTTAAATCATGGGTAAGTGAAGAAGTTATATCCACAGATTCAGATAATGTGTGGAAGAGAGGAAATCTGGCTGAGAGGACTCATTTTTGAAGAACAGAAACACTAACACAGGGGTAGTCAACCTTTTTATACCTACCACCCACTAATGCATCTTTTTCGATGGTAAAAATTTCCTTACCACCCACCAGTGCTCAATGGAAGGAGAATTCAGCTTACGCCGTAGAACCCCCTACCGCCCACCTAGAATCCTTAAACGCCCACTAATGGGCAGTAGGGACCAGGATGACAACCCCTGCTCTTAACACGTTCAGAGCTTCACTTGTCCAGCCTGCTTCCATATGCAGATAAAATTAATTCTAGATAATGCATAAGAGACATAGGTTACACAGGTTTCCTTGGTGACACAGAAATCTATCCCAGGTAGCAAGCGGCATTAAGATATACCGAAGTATTTCCCAATTTATACTTCTCCTGGCTACCATCTTTTAAAACAGGTAAAGACTGTCCTGGACTGTGTTGTGAGAAAGGCTAAGAGTTCTTCACTTCTAAAAATGGCTTCAGGTTCCAGTACCAAAGACTTATTTCAGAAGCAGGTTCCTAGGCATAGTACCACCAAATCAAACCCATTATTAGAACTAAGTATTCAAGCAAACATTTTGTATTTCAGGCTGTAAAGCAAGCTAGCCATTTAATTTGACTTGGATGAATTTATTGTGGTTCCCTGCATGACTACTGACCTTTAGGACAGGTAAATTCTGTTATATTGACTTGGATGCCCTTCCCCAGAGAATAATAATTACTGTTTCGGAAAATGTGTCAACATCTGGCGACTTCTCACTTTTTGAATTGGCTTTTTTTAACTCCAGAAGTGCATCCTTTATCATCACTACAGTACAGTGGTACCTCGGGTTACATACGCTTCAGGTTACAGACTCCGCTAACCCAGAAATATTACCTCGGGTTAAGAACTTTACTTCAGGATGAGAACAGAAATTGTGTTCCGGCAGCGCAGCAGCAGCGGGAGGCCCCATTAGCCAAAGTGGTGCTTCAGGTTAAGAACAGTTTCAGGTTAAGAATGGACCTCCAGAACGAATTAAGTTCTTAACCCAAGGTACCACTGTATTAGGTTCTTTAGAGACACTGCCAGAAAGAAAAGAAGGAACCTCAGATGTGGCCATCCCTTTGCACTTCCTCCTAAATGAAGTGCAAAGACTTCATTTAGCTTCTAATTTTCCTATGTTCCCTCAATAACACTTCTGCACTTTTGTCAGTTAGCCTTATTGCCTCCCTAACTGATTTCCTGCTTCTGATGTATTTCATATACATTTACCCAACCACTTTGAAAATGGAACACCTAATTATTACATTTATCCTTCCACTACATTCCCAGTCCTTTGCATTCATATGATTTGCCAATACTATATTACAAATGTACAAAACAGTGTCTATTTGCAATAGGTTTTTTTCCTAGTAAGTATTATATGTTTTATGTACTTATTTTAAGACATGCACCATCTGCTTGCATCTTTCTTACCATTCAGCCCTCCCAAGTGACGTGAGTATATTGGGACAGGCCTCGTTGGCCA